CCTGGGGAAGTTGTACCTCACCTCCACCCCTTAAGATAGTGCCCTTTTCACCTTTGGCTGAGGAAATGACAGGCAAGACAATACTGGGGCCCACCTATAATCAAACTCAAGGCAAAGCATGCTCCTATACGGAAAGTAGAAAGTGTAGTCCCTGAGGAGGTGTCCTATACTACTAAAGCACTTAATGAGTTTGGTGATTCATTTAAGCAGAAGTCTGGGAATATAGGCGGGAATGGATTTTTAGGGTGTGGGATAATGGTGGAAGTAACATAAAACTGAATCAGACTTTTATTGATATGGGCCCACTGAGTGGAAATTCTAAGTTTAATATGAAAGCTTACTTAGTTCAAAAAGTATGTTTGAATGGTTGGCTGAACCATTTGTCAAAATATGGCCTACTGACAAGAAGTTGGAGATGCCTGATACCCATTGGCTTAGTATTAATGAAGGGACTTTAAGGCTCAGGGAAATTGAAATGCTAGAGTGGCTACACTGTGTAAAACCTAATCTTCCACAAGAGGAAGGTCCAGAAGACATGCCCTTCACTAATCTTACACACACACACACACACACACACACACACACACACACACACACACACACAAAATGGTGAGAGGGGCAACAGCACACTTGAAGAGCTTTGTTGTCACCCTTTTCCTTGTGCCAGACTTTAGGGGTTTAGATGCTGCTGTTCCATTAGATGAATTAAATGCAATGAGTTTAACAGGGCCCCGAGGTAGCAGGGGCCAAGTGGCAGCAGTGAATCACCAAAGGCAAGGTGATCATAGTTATCGTGATGGGCAGCATAGACAAAACAATGTCCATAATGGCCTAGCATGGTGGTTCTCAACCTTCCTAATTATCTGACCCCTTAATACTGTTCCTCATATTGTGGAGACTCCCAACAATAATTTTCAATGCTACTTCATAACTGTAATTTTGCCACTGTTATGAATCATAATGTCAATATCTGATATGCAGAATATCTGATATGTGATCCATGTGAAAGGGTCATTCGACCCCCAAAGGTGTCATAACCACAGTGGCTGAGAACCACTGTGCCCTACCCTGTAATGGTCAGCACAAGTGAATTTTGTGGCAGCATTACTCATATGGACCTTTGGTACTAGCTAACCAATCATAGTGTTCTTAGGAAAGAACTAGATAAGAAGAAGCCTACAGAGTTTTTGTTTGATCTGTATAAGGAAAAAAAACCCTCAAACAAACAAAAGATTACATTGGATGTGGCAAAAGGGAATCTCAGCCCATGTATCACTTTCCAGACTTGAGCCAGTTTGCAGACCTAAAACCACTTTAATGAAGGGATGGAGAGGTTCCCCTAAGGAAGGACCTTGATAAATACCTAAAAATTTTGCTATTAGCCTTTCTTCAGTCCTTCCCCAGAGGGACCTTTCACAAGTGTAACTGTACATTGGGGAAAGGAAACTATCAGACTTTCAGGGGTCTCTTGGATACCAGTTTAGAAGTAATGCTAATTCCAGGAGATCACATAAAACACTGTGGCCCTCCAGGTAAAGGGGGGCATATGGAGGCCAGGTTATTAATGGAGTTTTGGCTGAGGTCCAACTCACAGTAGGTCCAGTCATTGAGTCCCCAAACTCATCCTGTGGTTATTTCCCCAGACCCAGAATGTATAATTGGGATAGATATACTGAGAGTTGGCAGAATTCTCACATTGGTTCCCTGATCTGAGGAGTGAGGGCTATTATATTTGAAAAGGCTAAATGGAAGCCTTTAGAGTTTCCTCCACTAAGGAAAATATGGAATCAAAAGCAGTATTGCATCCCTGGAGGGACTGCAGAAATTAGTGCCACCGTCAAGGACTTGAAAGATGCAGAGGTGGTTCCTATCACATCTCACTTTAGCTCTCCTCTCTGGCCAGTGCAGAAGACAGGTAGATTGTGGAGAATGACAATTCAGTCAAGCAGTGATTCTGATTGCAGCCGCCATACCAGATATGGTGTTCTCACTTGAGCAAATTAACCCATCTCCTGGCACATGGTATGGAACTATTGATCTAGCTATTTCGTCCCCCCCCCGCCCATCCCCGTCCAAAAGGTCTGCCAGAAGCAATTTGCTTTCAGTTCACAAGGCCAGCAGTATACCTTTACAGCTTTACCTCAGGATATATTAACTTTCCAGCCCTGTGTCATAACTTAGATAGAAAGGTTCTTGATTGTCTTTCTCTTCTACAAAATATCACATTGGTGACATTATGTTATTGGACCAAGTGAATAGGAGATAGCAAACACTTTGGACTCACTGGTAACACATATGCATATCAGAGGATAAGAAATAAATCCAGCCAATATTCAATGGCCTTCTATCTCAGTGAAATTCTAGGGGTTCAGTGGGGAAGGGGTATTCAGGCCAAAAGCTATAAAATTGTTGAATGAAATCACAGTGCCAATGAGGAGAGACTTCTTTATAAGTTGTCAGTGAGTGAAGCCCAAAGGCCACAGAATTTCCCCTTTGTCTGTCCTTAACTTGTATTTATGCTCTGTTGGAATTTGTAAGGCATTTGTAGCCTCTTTGTGTGTGTGTGTGTGTGTGTGTGTGTGTGTGTGTGTAAAATCATTATTTTCATTTGTCTAAAATTTCATCTAATTCACTTGATTTGGAAGCCATTACTATGTATCTTTTGGTGGAATTGTATTGCCTTGGTTTTTCATGTTTACTATAGTTTTGCATTAAAGCTTCTTTTATTTTGGGTTAAATCATTGATTTGCTGTGTGTGTGTGTGTGTGTGTGTGTGTGTGTGTGTGTGTGTGTGTGTCTGTCTGTCTGTCTGTCTGTCTGTGTTTAATCGCATTGCTTTTTTTCAAATGAAACTGTTTGCAATTTTCAGGTTGTAGCAGGATTAAAGTTTTGTTTAACTCTGCTCTATAATGTTTGGGCTACCAGATTAAATGGGAAATAGTGTCTGCAAAAATACTCCTATCCATGGGTAGGCCCACTATGAAAATACATTAAAATAAATGAGTATCTAGTAAAAAAAAAAACCCACAAATTTATCATCCTTCAAATATTTTAGAAAGTGGAAGAATATTACGACTTCTTTTTGCATGTGTATCAGTTACGTTAGGTATGAATAGAAAGGAAAAGAAAAATAAATAAAGGCGGTGATTATTCCTTTGCTGATGACAAACAGTAGACAGGGAAAAAGTAAAGACAAGGGGGCAGTAGGGACATGAGAGGGGAGAGGAGGTAATTTTGTTTAGAAGTAGAGGGATAAGTAAAGAAATATAATCAGATAACCTGAAGCAGTCCCAGCCATTAGGAGACTGAGACCAGAAACTTTAAAAACCAGGCCAGCCTGTGTTCTTGGGGCAAGTCTCTGAAAAGGAAAACAATACGGAAAAAAAAAAAAGAAGGGAAAAGAGCAGATGAACAGGACACAGCTGGCCTGCTAATTTGGCAGTAGATATTAAGTAAGACTTTTATAAATGCAAAGGACAGAGAGCTAGATGCGGGGGGTGGGGTGGGGTGGGGGGAGGGGGAGGTCTGAAGTATAAATGTAGGGAGCTGGAGAACTGTCTCTGTCTGTGGTGGTTTAGAGTGCAGGACTGTTTTTACGAAGTACCCAAATTCTGTATGGGCACCCATGGTCAGCAGCTTGTAACTCCATCTCCAGGGATCCAGTGCCCCCTTCTGGCCTCTATGGGTACCTGCACACATGTGGCAGGCACACAGACAAACATAATTTTTTTTTTTTTAAATTAAATTCTTAAAAACTGTGGATGCCATCTAGTCAGCTTGCTGGTTGCAGCCTTGAGTCTCTCAGCTTTCCTTTCTCTGCTCCTGTCTTTCTAAAAGATGACTTTAAATACCTCTATCCGCCAGCTCTCCAGCCCTTGCTCCAAGTCTGCACATTGACTCACTGCAAGAATCTCTTGTCTGCTCATTGCTTCTTCCCTGGCCTCCTACAATGCCTTCACCACCCAGAGCAGCCTTTCAAATCCAACCTTCTCCCCTCTTCAAGGCTTCCTTTCTAACGTCTACCCTTTCTTTGTGAACTTAATTCTACCTCCTCAGTCAGGCTGGTGGTCCTGAAAGCAGGAATGATTGCCCTTGAAGTTATCTGTGGAGTTTTCAAGGTTTATGTTTAGTGTCACGGAGCTCCGTTGAGACCTGCCCAACCCTTGCAATTCCTGAAGCATCTTTGATATGTTTTGAACATGTCAAAGTGTCCCTTCATTCCCAAAATGTTTTGCTATAGAAATGACTGTGTGATGTCAATAGTGGTGGAGTGGGTTCAAGAGAAACTTTCAAAAGGGTAAACAGAATGTGTAAATTGCCAGGCACAGAGACCTTGGTGACAACCATCCACGGCAAAAGGAGAGGGAACATTAGAAGCTGAGCAAAACAGGCATAACCCACAGCAGACTTATTCTTTTCTAAGTCACATCAGACTTAATTCTTTTCTAACTCACATCAGACTTATTCTTTTCTATGCCATTTCTCACGCATACAAATAGAATTTAGCTGACATCTTTGCCTTGTCAAAGAATAGGCTCCTACTTATTTTTAATTCCATGTAAAATATAGTTTCACTCCTTTCATATGTAAAGCTAGAAGTAGAGTTTGGGGATCTCACGGTCAGATTAGACTCCAGGAAAGCTTGTGTTGTGCTCCGATTTGAGATTTGGCGCCACAGTACACGCTAGAGGATATTTTTTCTGTCATTTAAGCATTAGGAGGCGGGCATGTGACTCACTAGCCAATAAGAAAAGTTGCTTGGCTGCCTAAGCCGTCCAATGAGGCTTTCAAATGTTGGGAGAGGGCGGGTCCAGCAGCGGGGATGCCACTTCCCGTCCAGCCATTTTAGGCGTTTGTGTCTTCTCTGGAGAGGGCCCCGCAGGTTGTCCCCCAGTGTTTGTGTCTCATCCACTGATCACAGGAGCCGCTGGAGAACACCAGGGCACCCGGTGACCGAAAATGGTGCGTACGGCCGGGCGTCCCGGGTGTTGGGAGGAGGCGGTTGCCAGCGGAGGCGACAGTGGGGACGCGGCCTCCCCGGGCAGCCGAGTCTGCGTCTGTGACTCATCGGGCTCCGCTGGGCCGCGCTGCCCGGGTCCCGCTGGGTGGAGCTGGGTCAGCAGGCACAGCCGCGGTCCTGTCCCTTGCTGAGCGCTCAGTGCTGCGGCCATGGCCTCCGTCGGCATCCGGGCACCCGCAGCCTCGCGACTCCGCAGCCTGAGCGGTGGCGGCAGTGTCGTGGTGAGACTCGGGACTCCGGGGTTCGTGTGTGTGTGTGAGTGTGTGTGTTTGGGGGGGAGGGGGGATGCAGGGTGTGGTGACCTTGGGTCCTGAGCGTGTTGTCAGAAACAGAGGGACAAGCTGGTGTGTTTCCAATGCCAGAATTTTTCGGATAATAAACCATTTCCCAAATTATGTCTGTTTCGTTGTTAACAATTAGCCAAGTATGCCCGGTTTTGCTTGCTAGCCAGCCATTGACAATCACAGGTTCTTATATAACAATCTAAGTACTAACATTAACTGGCGGATAACATGAACATTTCACATAAAGATATACAAATGTGCAGGTCACAGAATGGGTAAGAGCTAAAGTGGTTGAGTTTGGAGTCCGTTCTGAAGTAGGAGGCATAGAACTGAGACAGATGCAAAGAACAATCTGTAGGGAACCAAAAATGATGTCCTAGCAGTGCAGGCACAGATGTCAAATGTATATGCAGTGTGCATGAGTAAGTCAATTTAAGTTGGCTGGGTGTCCTGGGCAGAAGAAACCGCACTGGAGCTGGAGTCCAAGGACTGACTCAGGAGTTCTTCCCTGTGGGTAAGGCTCCCGACAGTTGCCTGCCATCCTTTGTCTTGGGGTGGTCCTTCTAGTCTATGGTCCCAGGTGAGGGGGTTACATGCGATATGGCTGACAAGCTGATTTGTGTGGTGTGTCTAAAATGATTTGGTATAATTTCAGGTGTCATCATTGATGTTGTCAATTTGTCTCTCCTGGTGTTCTGGAAGATACTGGCTGTTTACGTGTGTAAACAAGCCGTGTTGCCTTTCTTTTTTTGGTGGTGGTGGGGGCTCTTATTCTTCAACTTGGAGTAACTCTGGTCAAGGTTGTTGCTTAATAAAATGGAGTCCTTCTAGGCTTGACACTGTTGGAAAGCAGATATCCCTATGGTATAGAGTATCACTGAGCAGTCTGCCCTGGCTTCCTTGCTGTCTCTCCTCAGTGGCACCTGCTTTTCCTGTGAGTCTCACAGATTCCAGGAAAGCTTCCTCTAAATTCCATGACCTGTATCCATAAGTCAGTGAATCTTAGCACTGGCAGTAAGCCCTGAATTTCTACCTTCTTCTGATATTTCCAAACTTGTTGGAAAGGGGGATCCACATCCATGGAAGACTGGAGTTGGGCTCTGTCATAATTGCTGGTGTCCTCAGATCCTCTGATATTTCTAGACATTGCTTTTTGTTTTAAAATTTTATTTATGAATTATTGTTGTATACACAGTAATAATACATGGTGTGGTGTGTATGTGTATGTGTGTGATATCCTGCATGCTACAACTTGCATTTTGAAGGTCAGAGAACAACTTCATGAAATGCATTCTCTCTTTTACGTGGGTTTCCAGGATTGAGTTCATGTCACCAGGTTCATGCAGCAAGTACCTTTACCTGCTGAGCTACTTGTTCCAGTATCTACACATTATTTTAAAAGGCAGAGTCCTGCTAGAGGTAGGCCTTACTGTATGTGAACAGAGTTTTGCATTAGGAGAAAACCCTAAGTGTTAGGTCTACGAAGTTCTCCATGGTTACCCTGAACAGGGCTTTTCTAACTCTTAGGGAGGACGGGAGAAAGCAAGTATATACAGAAGTTAACAGAAGGCTCTAGAGTTTGGTGTGGTGATATAAGGTGGCACAATCGGTTCTTATTAGAGCCCTCAATTCTTTTCCTTATACATGCTGGCTGCTTTGTCTAGACTATTTATCGGCTTCGGCACCCACCTAGACTATACATTCATTAGTCACTTGGGCCAGAGGGAAAGACTGCTGCCAATGAATGCCAATGGGGCCTGGACCCAGGCCTGCCCACCCACTCATCTTGCCAATTTGAGTGGCTGCAAAAGGAATGTAATGTTAGGATCCAGCTATTGCTTAGGAAGTAACATCTCCAGCAGCCTTCCCCTTTTACAGATACTGATATCCACCTTACTTAGACATTGTTTGAATCGCTAGCTAACAAGCTTGTTGGGATTTCTCACCTGGAGAAATGAGCTTACATCAAAATGGGTACTAGTGGCCACACATCCTGCTCCCCACCCCCTTTCACTGGCCCACAGGCTCCTCTGCCTCTCTTGCTTGGTAATCTGAGAGTCTGCAGCCTGGATCCTGCTTTGAAACCAATTCCATCTCCAGAAAGCTGTAAGATCACCTTTTCCAGGCATTCCACATTCCTCTCTTTAGAGCTCAAGTCATGCTGTTGCCCTTCTGTCTACTCCAGAGAACCTCATGGGAACATTCCCAACAAGAACTAAGAAAATGATCAGCTAGAAAATAGACCAGACAGGTAATCACCCTGGCCAGGACTGTTTCTGTGTACAACTTGTGTTTTGTCTTAATCCTTTCTCTTTTTTAAATTATTACAATTTTTAAAAATAGAAGTATGTGCCAGATGCCCAAAGCCAGATCCGGAATTATCAAACCCTTTGATTTGTTCTCCCAGAAAGAGCCAGACTGACTTAGAGAGCTGTTCTTTCACCCTCGGTCCTCGGTCTGTAATTGGCGTATTGGGACTGCTGGCCAAACTTAATCTGTCGTGATTACAAGAGTCAGGATGCTGAGTTTTAAATTTTTTAGTTACATTATGAACTAGGAAATATTTGGACTAATGGTCCTAATTTCTTTTGTTATGATTTATTTATTTGTAGTTGATGTGCATTAGTGTTTTGCCAGCCTGTATGTCTGTGTGAGGTTATCAGATGCCCTGCAACAGGAGTTATACACAGTTATGAGCTGCCGTGTGGGGGCTGGGAATTGAACCTGGGTCCTCGAGAAGAGCGGCCAGTGCTCTTAACCACTGAACCATCTCTCCAGCCTCTGTCTTAATTTATGTGAGCACTTATTTCTTATGAGCCAATTTGTTGTCATACATACAATATAAAAATGTCGCCGGGCGGTGGTGGCGCACGCCTTTAATCCCAGCACTTGGGAGGCAGAGCCAGGTGGATCTCTGTGAGTTCAAGGCCAGCCTGGGCTACCAAGTGAGTTCCAGGAAAAGGCGCAAAGCTACACAGAGAAACCCTGTCTCGAAAAAAATAAAAAAATAAAAAAATAAATGTAAGCACGAGTAGACAGGATTTATACTTATATAGCCATATACAGATTTAAATATAAAATGTTACAGTATGTATTTAGATTTATCATTTGTCAGTCATAAGCTAAATCGTTCATTTAATTCTTTTTCTCTTTTTTTTGGTGTGTGTGTGTGTGTGTGTGTGTGTGTATGTATGTCTAGTAAGCATGACTAGATGCTCAAGATGGCTAGAAGAGGGTGTCAGATTCTCTGGAGCTGAAGTTACAGGTGGTTGTGAGTGGGAACCAGACTAGAGTCCTCTGGTAGAACGTGAAGGACTGACTTTTAATGGCGTAGCCAATTCTTAAGCCTCTGCATATTCTTTTCTATCATTATTAAATGGTGCTTCCAAAATCTGTACTTTTATAGATACAACTTTAAATGTAAGCAACATAGAAAATTTAAGAACTTTTTAACATGTGTATTTGTTTAGTCTTTGAAAATGCCTCACATGTATTCAATGTATGGATTATATCCATCCCATGATTCCCCCTTATAGTCTCTTCCCAGACCTACTGCACTATACCTGCCTACCAACTTTATGCCCTCTTTAATCCACTGAATTTAATGAGTGTTTCCAGTATGTTTGTGGGTGTGGGGTCATCCTAGCAGGAACAACATCTCTTAAGAAAACAGGTTCTCTGTCCTCCAACAGCAGTTAACTGTCAATAGCTCCTCTGTTGGCTCCTCCCCATTTATTCTGAAAGTTTGACTAGTTTGATCTTGTGCTGTTCTTATGCAAGCAACCACAACTGCTCTGAGTTCATGCATGCAACAGCCCTGTTATGTCTAGAAAGCATGATTCCCAGTAGTCCTCTCTGACTTCTGACTCCTACAGTGTTTCCTTCCCCTCTTCCATAATGGTTCTTGAGCCTCGTGGGGAACAGGATGCATTTAGAGCTAAGCTTTCCACAGTCACTTATCCCTGCATTTTGATTAATTGTGGGTCTCTGTATTAACTTCAAGAAGAAGCGAGCTTCTTTGATGAGCGTTGAAAGCTGCACTAACTAATCTATTGTTATAACCGTAAGTGTTTGGAAGGCAGTTTGATACTGTGTCTATTTAGCAGAATAATAGCGTATGTTCTCCCCTGAGGCCTGTGACCTAGACAGCTGTGGGGTTCTATCATGTGGAGCAGGCTGTAAATTCAATCAGAAAGCGGTTGGTTGTTACCCATTACATTGATGCCACCCTTGCATCAGTGGGCATGTCTTGCCAGGCAAGTCATTATATTATAGCTTGGAGAGTTCATGGCTGGTAAGATTTTTTTTTTCCCCAGCAACCTACACATCACCTTTGGCGTTGTGAAAGCTAGCCAACAGAGATGAAGATTCCATATGAGTACCAACTTGATTTCTCCATTTCTTGTGGCTCAAGTATGAGGTGTCTTCAGCAATAGGGTCTTACCATCAAGTTCTGGTGGGTAACCAAGAGCAATAGTGATAACCTGTATTGTAAAACTTAAGTCTTGAAAACATGGACTCTTTCCTGATCTCTAAGCAGGCAGTAACACATTGGTTTTCAAATGACATTTTTGTTTTTATATTCCTACACTGGCCGTTGCAAGAAACTTGGAAAAAAGCCTTCTAGTTTTGTTTGTATCATAGAGGAGAGAGAACATGAATGCAAGTGATCATATGCTAATGATGCAATTATATGTTAGAATTTATCTGAAAAATGGAAGCTATGCTATTTTTCCTTTTTGTAAGACATAATTCTTTTAAAACTTACATGGAGTAAGCTTAGGTATCTGCTGGAGATTACTAGTTCTTGTGGCTGTATCTTCGGAAAAGGCAATTAAACTGAAACTTATTAGGCCTATTTTAGAGCAAAGCAATATAAAGGCAAATTGGAGATATACCAAGAGACATTTTAAAACAGTTATTAGCACAGATTGTTA